CGTGGTAATTCGTATGCTTGGTGAACCAATATGATAGCGTAATGTTTCCGGCACACTGCATTCGTTTCGGCCAAGCCGTTATGTTGTTGTTGCTTCAGCGAAAGAGCTACAGCATTGCGCTGGCACGACCGCCCTCTACATTGCGCGAAAAGCATCCCAATACTCAATCAAATAAATTAGGCAGGCGTATCTATGGAATGAGCCTAGAATTAAGCGTCATAAAGCGTAAGCAGATGTCGCCCTTTAGAACGAGCGCCAAACGGGTATTAAACTTGGCAGACCCCGCCGGTAAACTGTTGCTGCTCCCCAGTCCACTTGGTTTTTTTTCTTGAAGTTGTGAATTGTAAAAAAATAGCGTTAGTGCCATTAACCCAGTGGTAATTGTTACAGGCCGCACTTGCTTGTGTTTAACAAATGTGCAATTTTTAGTAGCAGGTGTATATCTTGTCTATGTTGTGTACACGACAAACATAACTTAAGTTGAACCGTAAGTTTGTATGCCAACTAAGTATTTAACACACAATAAACGTTATGTTGGTATGGTGCAGTGGTTAGTGTCTTCGAATAGGAATCCGCAGGTTGCACGTTCGATCCTCCGTGTTGCCTTGTTTTTTTTTAAGAGATGGGTGTTTTTATACCGTTTTTATAGAAATTTTTTTATTTTTTGTGGCAGCTCGTCACGGTGATTCTGACGTCATTTCGCGCTCAAGCGTTGCCGGCACTGCAGCACCCACCATACCCACCATGTGCCATGGTGGGCGTTTCCCACCATTCACCCACTACATCAATCCACTATATTGGTGGGTGGTGGTTTACAGCATGCCCACCATTCGTTTTTTTCTGATAGGGCAGGAGCAACGGTCGCATACATCGAAGAAATTGTAGACGCCACCAGTGCTTTCGCCCTCGCCGATTCTGCGGAACTTGCTCACAGGAACCAAGCCCCTCCCACAGCTTTCGATGTCACTCCCAGACATCTGAACCATGAGCTAGAACAGCTCAAGTTTCTGCTCCTGCAAAAAAAAGATTGCTTTTCGTCGTCATCGAAAATTCGGCAGACCCCAATCACAAAACATCGCATCATAACCGAAGAAAATGCCAGACTACTCCGTCAGAGTCCGTACAGGGTTTCGACGCGAGAACAAGAGGCCATGAAGAGACAAGTTGATGAAATGCTGCGGGATGACAATTTTCAGCCGTCCAAGAACTCATAGGCATGCTTCGTGGTGTTAGTAAAGAAAAAGGATGGGACCCTACGTTTCTGCGTCGATTATTGCCGCCTAAACAAAATCACAAGAAAGGACGTGTATCCTCTCTCACGAATAGACGACGCACTTGATCGGCTCCATAACGCCAAGTACTTTTCGTCAATGGACCTCAAGACTAGCTATTGGCAAAGCGAAGTCAACGAAAGAGACCGAGAGAAAACGTCGTTTATAACACCGGACGGCCTCTTCGAGTTTAAGGTGATGCCCTTGGGTCTTTGCTCAGCGCCTGCAACTTTTCAACGCGTTACCGAGACAGTACTGGCAGCTTTGAAGTGGCAGACTTGCCTTGTGTACTTGGACGACGTAGTCGTGTTTTCCTCGATTTTCGACGAGCATCTTCGGCGCCTTGAAGCTGTACTTCAAGCCATCAAGACATCCGGACTCACCCTCAAGCCAGAAAAGGGCAGATTTTCGTACGAGGAGCTCTTGTTTCGGGGGCACGTTCTTAGCAAGTCTGGAGTTCGTCCCGATCCACGGAAAACAGCCGCCATCGCTGACTTCCCGCCACCCACTGGCAAGAAGGTGGTGCAGCTACTTCTGGGCCTGTGCGCCTATTATAAGTGGTTCTTGAAAAACTTCGCACGCATCACCAATCCTTTCACTAACCTTACCAAGGCCGACGTGGAGTTCAATTGGGAAACGCTGCAGGAACACGCTTTCGAGGAGCTTAAACATCGCCTCCAGACGCCTCCGTTACTTGTCCATTTCGACGAATTCGCCGAGACACAAATACACACTGACGCAAGCAGCGTAGGTCTTGGCGCCGTTCTTGTGCAGAGGGTTGACGGACTTGAAAGGGTTATTAGTCACGCCAGCTGATCACTATACAAAGCAGAAGCCCATTATTCCACAACAGAAAAGAGGTGCCTCGGCATCACCTGGGCTACGTCGATATTTCGCCCCTACCTGTACGACAGGCCCTTCAAAGTTGTCAGCGACCACTACGCCTTGTGTTCTCTAGCCACATTGAAGTACCCTTCAGGTCGCCTCGCACGATGGAGCCTGAAACTGAGAGAATATGACATTACCGTCGTTTACAAATCCGGCACGAAACACTCCGACGCCGGCTGTCTCTCTCATGCGCCTGTCGACCAAACACCACCCGACGACCGGGATGACGACTACTTTTTGGGAACAATAACTACCGACGACTTCGCTGAACGACAGCGGGCCGACCCGGAACTTAAAGCCCTGATAGAATACCTCGAAGGCAGGACCGTCGAAGTTCCGAAAATATTCAAGCGTGCACTTGTGTCGTTTTTCCTGCGCAACGGTCTTCCCCAAAAGAAAAAAAAACTTTTCACCACTTCTAGCCAAGTACCTCCTGTTGGTGCCTTCAGCTCTGCAACCAGAACTCCTGCAGATCCTGCACGACGATCCGACAGCAGGGCACCTCGGTGTTTCTCGCACGCACGCGAGTATACAAGAAAGGTACTGTTGGCCACGTCTTATCACCGACGTTACTCGTTATGTGAGGACACGCCGAGACTATCAGCGACGCAAGGCACTGCCGACAAGGCCAGCGGGACTTCTGCAGCCAATTCAACTACCTTGCCGACCTTTCCAGCAGATTGGTATGGACCTACTGGGGCCGTTCCCGACGTCGGCTTTCAGAAACAAATAGATCGTGGTAGCTACCGACTACCTCACTCGCTCCGCTGAGACAAAAGCCCTGCCAAAAGACAATGCATCCAAGGTAGCAAAGTTCTTCATTGAAAATATCGTCCTACGTCACGGCGCCCTGGAGGTCCTTAACACCGATAGAGGAACGGCATTTACTGCTGACCTAACTCAAGCGATCTTGCCATACAGCCAGACAAAAAACCACTGCACGACAGCGTACCACCCACAGACCAATGGCCTCACTGAGTGGCTAAACAAGACGATCGCCGACATGCTGGCAATGTACGTCGATGTTGAACACAAGACGTGGGACGCCATTATTCCGTACGTGACCTTCGCATACAACACGGCGGTGCAAGAGACGATGCAGATATCCCCCTACAAATCGGTCTACGAAAGGAGCCTGGCAAGGACGCTCGATGCCATGTTACCCAACGTCCCCGACGAAGAAAACCTCGATGTGAGTGAGTACCTTCAACGCGCCGAAGAAGCGCTACAACTCGCGCGTCTCCGTATCAAGAATAAACAGACGACCGACAGCCGCCATTACAATCTTCGTCGACGCTTCGTGGAATACCAGCCCGGTGAACGTGTTTGGGTGTGGACGCGATACGCCGACGTAGACTAAGTGAAAAGCTTCTGCGACGATACTTCGGACCATACAGGGTGGTTCGACGTCTTGGCCCACTCGATTACGAGGTTGTCCGCGACGGCATCACAAACTCTCAACGACGCCGATCGCGACCTGAAGTCGTCCATGTCGCGCGCCTCAAGTCGTCTTATGCGCGTTGACAAACTGAAACAGTGTTTTTTGTATTATTATTGTATCGTAATTTATTCATTGTACATTTTTGCATTATTGTTGTACTTATTCTTTAGTTTTAGCATCGGGACGATGCCTTTTTCAGAGGAGGGCAATGCCACGTTCTATTTCCCAAGTTTTGTTATCGCCTCAAAACACTACGTAATTCTCGGCACAAACCGCGCCTGCAGTTTTCGAGAAGCTTTCGAACAGTAGTAGATCATTTTGATAAATCACGCCTACTCTGCGAACTGTACAGGTTATTCTGGAACCTATGCCACCACGAGCGATAACGCTAGAACATTCGACGGCAAGAGTATAAATGCCGACGCGCTTCGCTGCTTGTCAGTAGTTTATCGACGGCCGACGCTCCGTTCACTGCTCTCTGTGCGAAAGTGCGACTGCAATTGAACTTTCCGTTTACCGGGCCCTGGTTCACCCAAATAAAGAGTTAAATCCCAACATAAAGTCTCCTGTCTTCGGCCACGTCACGACCCCACGACAATATTCTATCCACGACATGCGGTCAGTATGAGCACAAGTATGTTTTCAGTGACACAGGGTCACCTAAGTGAAGATCACTGGTAGTAACCTTTGTTCCGACGTAGACCTAAATAGACTAAAGATGTCATAATGATGACCATCAGGTCGGTTTCCAATATGTGAGGTAATTTGATTTTGGCGTTCGATGATATTCATCCATTCACTCCGAAATGGTGCCATTGCAAGCTTCCTCTTCATAATTGGATCTTGTATCTGCAATTTGTTTCGTACTTATTTTACGAAATTAGAGCTGCTAATGAGTTCTCTCACGTTACGTAGGAGCGATGTTGCATATTGTGCTTTCCTCATTTCATCCTGTCTCGAGAATGAAATGAAAGCAACGCATCGCGCTGCCTCGAGGATTGCTTTTATTAGGTTACAAGCAAGTTTAGAGATATTTAAAAGTGCCTTTTCAGCAACTGAACAAATAATTATGCAGAAATTTAGAGAGATGAAAGCTTTCACAAAAGTGTTTGGTAAACAAGCACTGAAATGAACGTGATGGGTTTATAGGAAGGAAGACAGTGAAAAAAGCAGATAGCATAATTCGTAACTTCGCGTTTACCAACATAGTGTTCTCGGTATCTGTTACAAAAATTGTGACTGCCATGTCACTTCACGATTGTTTTGTGTGTTGCCTTTAACTGGTCTGCTTTGAGAAGAAAAGGAAAAAAAAACATTTCATGCCTTATTCGAAATATTTGCCCAGGTAAAACATGCGTGCAAGTTTTTCACCTGACAATACTTATTTGCATCATTTCTAGGCCAAACTGAAGAGTTCAAGCATCTCTACGGAGGCCTGTTCTTTGTCAACAGCTTGCCAAGAAACACAAGTGGTAAAGTCTTCAAGCGTCACCTAAAGCTTTTGTGTACCAAGTCGAAGGTATATTAGAAATGTAATTTGTATGAACGTCCAATCTTCAGAAAAATAAAGCGATTTGATGCACATTGACCAAAATTGGAAAGCAAAATTTAGTTACTCTGAGTTTCGATTCCACAAGTGACATTGTGATGCGAATGCGTGATACACTGCGAAAGTATGTCCGCAAGAAGAGAGATTGCAGTTTATTCGCTGTTCTGGGAATATGTGATACGCTGAATTATCCTCGTGCTAGACACAAGGCGTGCGATTGTGTGCCTGACACCACGACTAAAGGAGAGAACAGTTGTTACTCAACTCTTTCGGCAGATCAAATCACACAAGAAAGAATGGTCTGTAAGGGGCCTAACTGAGCAATTAAAAGACGCACGTGAGGTATCCCGAATCCACCTGCGCAAACATTAAAGCGCTTTTTCAGAAACGCTGACAGGACCCGTCACAATAAGCGAAGTGAACTAGAGTGCTAATGCCAGCTCTGCTTGCACAAGAGCTCAGGCGGAGTGGGCAACACGCTTGAAGGAGGAAAAAAAAAGCAACGTTAGTTGTCAATGGCTCATCAATGGACACCCCGCGCAGTCATGTTCTTTTGCTCTTGTTCGCTCTGTAGCCGATGCAGTCGCCAACGCTAATGCCCAAGTGAAGCGCTCTACAAATAGACATGCATTGTAACCGAATACCTACTACGATATTCTACCTGTTGTTTTCAAGTTGTTGAAAGGTCTCTTTCAAGGCATGATCTTCCCCAATAGTTTGTGCGACGCCTGCAGCAGTGCACACTCTACATGCCCCAATTATAAAACACCACAGCTCGGTGATTATCAGAGCGCTGAATGCACGTTATGCAGATCCATAACTGAAGCGCTTGTATCAGTGACAGACTTCTTTTTTTTCCTCAAAAAAATTGCTCAAATTTTTTCTTCAGTTTGCAAAATCTTTCTTAAATTTTTTAAAGTTTAACATCGCACATGGTTGATGTAAGTGCGTTTGCTTCCCTATGTGTAAGGTGCCTCAGGAAGCTTGGAGATGACGACGAAGAGAAGTTCCTTCAGCTGCGCTTGCGAGCCATGGGTGAAAGTAATTTTGGTGCAGTAAAAAGATTAGTCACTCAGTTACAATACGGGATTTCACAAGGCCTGCAGTATTTGGATGACGGCCTAGTTGGGTATAAAAAGAGCCATAGCAATTCGAGCAGATAATCTTCTTTTTGTACGTTTAGGACGGGGTAACTTATACACGGATCGTGCATGCTACATTCACAACTGCACGTGTCAAAAATTCGAATGAAAATAAGTGCTTGAATGCTAATAGTGTGCTTTGAACATAGTTATATTTGTCCTTTTGATGCAGCAGAAAACCAAATTCATCAAAATCATCCCCGCAGTATCAACTAAGTGAATGATGATTAGTCGGGCGAAGCGTCAATCTGTCCATCTACCCGCCCGTCTGTCCCTCTGTTCATCTGTCTGGCTCTCTGTCCACATGTCTGTCTGTCTGCCTGTCCGCGTGTCTGTCTGTCTACTAGTGAGGCATACTACTGAGTGGTTACGTACCATGAAATATATACAAAGAATAAACAGGCCCAAAGTTTAAGAGCTTCTTCCCTAAAGGTTTTGGACAAGATCAAAAACGCCGGTTTGAAGCAAATCCTATTAACGTGCAACAGTATTCCTGGACTTGGCCCCTACGTAAACGGGGCTTCCATGGCCAGCTATTAAGTCTGTACCTTCGAGACACAACTGGTTTTTAAAATCTCTAAGTAGAGCCTTGTCCTGAGACTAGAGACCAAAATTACGCTGTCAGAAGAAAGCTTCAGTCAGCGCATTCACACGGTGGAAAAGACAGACAAGACTAGTAAGAACCCTAAATACCAAGTGAGGGAAGATAAAAGACTGCAAGCATTACGCAGTATAGAGGGTCAGATCAACTAAAACAAAAGTAGCTGAGTATCAGCGCGCACAACTCAACTCAGTTCAAAATTTGGTAATGAAACTATAGTTTTATGCCGAATAAGAAGTAATTTTTCACATTTTTGCATGCAATCTGCATTTTGACCTAGGTGTTACAGGAACAGAAGAAAGAGAGACTAAATATTGCAAGGTGAGTGGCTACTTCACTCACGTGAGGGATGGCTAGTCAAGGAAAAGCTGTACTGACAAAAAAAAACACTCGACGCTCAACTACGCAGCATCCCGCATCGTATGGAGCACACTCTTGGAAACTGTGCCCGAAATAAAACTGCAGCAAACCTTCGTGGTTGTAGAAAAACTTAAAAGTCTGAAAAATTAACAAAGTGTTCAATCGTTATGCCACGTTCTCCAATGAGCGCTGCTAACAGGTGTCGGGGGGTGATTCCCGATGCCATCAAAGTGAAAAACCAGCACTTTCACCAATTTTGTAACGGGTGGACAAGAACAATAAAGAGGACAAGAAGGAAGACGAGGTTAAAGACTCGGGGAGTTTGACGCGATCTTGTCAGTCGTTGAGTAAATTCTGGGTGTCTGCCCCGGTAAACTTATTATCACCATATCATCTTTGGTGGAAGGTGACGTGTACTGACTTTCCGCAAGATGAAGCTTCGTAGCGAGCGCCTAGTTGCCTCTTCATGGTGATCGGACTGAACAATGCCGACCATTCCCTGACTACCGCGCCTTTCTAACCACTACCATGAATTTTCCAGCTGGCCCGTCAACCCTTATCTTTCAGCCCACGAGAGATCCAGGTAACTTTTCTGGCACCGATGGCGTTGACATAGAAGCATGGCTGAAGTCAAACGAGCGAGTGGGGGTACGCATACGATGGGACCAAACGCTTCTGCTGGTCAACGTAATTTTCAATCTCAGAAACATCGCAAATGTTTCTAAATCCACGATCAAGAGTAAAGAAGCTGGTAATTATGCAAGCAAAAGCTTCGGGGCTACTCGGCAGGCTTTTAGGGCAGGCCAAAGACGTTAACATTATATCGCTGTATTGCCATCTATGAAATGCAACAACCTTGTTAATTTCGTTTCACTGGAAACCCAACTCTCAACATCATGCTGTTCGTTGTTGAAACAAGAGGTTTTGCGATAATGTTCGTGGTATAATTCATTTGATTAGTACTAGCCGCGATAATTTTGAATTTCTCAAGGCGCAAGGGCGTGATTTTGGTAATGGTGACAAAAAGGGTTTTTGGCTCAATTGGTTGCCGTTCGGTATTAGTTTTTGTTAAGGGCACTAAAACGTGGACTTGGCCCCGAAACTCGTAACGGAAACTCTGACAATATTAGGTGCATAAAAAAAGGGGTATCTTGAAACATATTTGCCTCGCTTAGGAAAAATGAACTTCAAATTAACAGACAATATTTCCTGTGAATGTTACATATTGCCCCAAAGTCTTGCAATATTTTGCAGGAGCTGTGGTCATGTGGAAGCGGCCCCAAATATGGCAATCAGTAGGAAAAACGTGGTCGAAAATATCACTCACCCGCTATCTGAAAGGTTAGAGGAGCGTATCTTAGGTTGAGAATCCGATCTACCTCCCAGCCCCTCCGCGGTGGTCTAGTGGCTAAAGTACTCGGCTGCTGACCCGCAGGTCGCGGGTTCGATTCCCGGCTGTGGCGGCTGCATTTTCGATGGAGGCGGAAATGTTGTAGGCCCGTGTGCTCAGATTTGGGTGCATGTTAAAGAACCCCAGGTGGTCAAAATTTTCGGAGCCCTCCACTACGGCGTCTCTCATAATCAAATGGTGGTTTTGGGACGTTAAACCCCACAAATCAATCAAATCAATCAACCGATCTACCTCCCACCATGTAGTGACTATTGCTGGTTAGAGTGCAGCAAATTATAATACAGGACTGCACCGCCGGGCCCAAGTTGTAATGTAGCTGAGACTGGCAGCTTTTTCTTCATTCTCACAATTCGTGTTTGAACAAAACAAAATAGAGATAAAAAACGCCCACGGCGAGGAATCGGTACAACCAATGCGGCGCTAAAAAACTCGGATGTAATGTAGAAGCCATGGTGGAACACGACGACACAAAAACTGGCGGCTGGTACTGGTGCGTTGGGCAACTGGTAACCACTAGGACTGTCAGTGACAGGCACACGATGAAAAGGCACCAGACAGAAATGAGTAGCCACCAGAAGTGGCCAGGTGACAAAGGGACGAGAACGGCACCCCTCACGGAAACACGGGATAACTAATGGCAACCACAACCAACATGGGTGGGGTACACGGCGCGTGACGCCCCCAATACATCCTCTGACGCACAGTTTCTTCCTTGGCAGCAGGTATTGTCTGGAGCAATAGCCTTCAGCTAGTTTTGCCGGCTTAGGTAGGCAGCGACGGGCTCCTCATGCAGGCACAGGACGGGCGGCAGCATGTTGCGCTTGTAGCTGCAAACCTGTTCTTGCTGGTCAGGGTTAATGGACCCCCGTATGAAAGATTCGTTGAGGGGAAGCACGTCAAAGTGCATCCAGTGTTTGAAGCCCCAGTCATCATGTAGAATTTGGCAACCTGGGTCTGAACCTGCAACGGATGATGCCTGGTCAAAGAGCTGTTGCAAATGTAGAGGACAGGGCACCAGAGGCGTGGATGCAACGGGTCGTTCGTGGCAGTGCCGGGGCAGGCGTGGCGAGCAAACAGCGAAGTCGGCATGGCATCACGGGCGATGCATTGGTAGACGTGCTCTAGTGGGCACTCCGTGCTTGCGCTCCGCATGAGACCACAACGCGCACAGTCGGAGTGACACGGAAGAGTGGGCTTGGCAGCCGCCACAGAGGGGGAATGGGCAACTGAGTATGGTCGGCACCGGCAGGTGTGAGGCCGCTGACCCGAGGATAGCGCCGGTGTGCTCAGGACGCCGCCGCCTGACGACCACAATATACCGCTGGCTAGGTCAAAACGTCGCGTCGGTAGATACTTCTATAGTACGAACAACAGGATGTAATCGTATAAGTGTAATCGTAGCGTCACCGCAGGTGAGACAGAATGTCACCAGGATCTAGGGAGCAGGGGACGTTGTAGCGGCGGGACGCTTCTCGGGCGTCAATTCAAGGCGGACCGCAGCTGGTTGGCCAGGGACCCTTCTTCAAGCGACCCCCCAGGGTAGG